CCCCCCCCCCCCCCCCCCAAAAAAAAAAACACTGAAGAACCTCTCTTCGATCTCCTTGCAATGCCGCGTCATCTCTCTACTATAACAATGTTATCTTTCAATACATATACACTTGCTACCCAACTTCCGTGGAACTTCACAATGATGAAAAAATTGGGAAAGAAAAAAATTACTAACTCATAATTTATAAATTCTTTCCAAAAGTTACTAAGCGTAACAGCCAGCAAGCAGTAATAAGGAGTGGGCACAATCACTTCCTTCAATTCAGCTTAGATTCTATCATTCTTTATAACTTTCTTCCCGCCACCAATAATTCTTAAGAGAAGCAGTATAAGCTAAACTAGGGTAGTCGCACTTAATATCAAGCCTTGGCATCAGCGGCTATCACAACTCACAACAAGTGACGTCGTTTAATAGCTACAGTGATTGAGGCGTGTGAAGACTGCGCGTCTGTAACAGCAACATGGAGGGAAACAGCATAGTTCGAAAACTATCGCGGAGATTCGCTACTTCATATTGATAAAAATAAACGAGCAACTACTACATGGAATGAACAAGAATCAACAAAATGAAGCACCGATAAGGATGAGCTCAACCAAGAACCAGAAAGTCAAAATCTCGAGCTCAAGCAGAGTATCAGGATGCGTAAATAAACAATCAAAGAATTCAAATGAACTAAATTGAACAAGCATCGTCGTGTATAAACAAACAAAGTAAAAACATCTCGTAGTACAGCGGGATTCTGTAATACTCCGAATATGAAACATACCAAAACAACTGACCTGATAAATAATTGAAGAAATGAGCAGGAATACGCAGATAGAATGCAGAAACCGGGAAGAGGACGACGATTGAAGAGAGATCTGATCTAAACGTCCTGCAAATGGCGTTTGCAGGTGTTGAAATCTCAAATCAGAGCGTCTGTTTTCAATGTTAAATGTGGCTGATGAATGGTGAACGGATGTCAAAGGTAATAAAACAAGATCAACATACTTTCCTTAATTTTCTTTATTATAATTGAAATGCGCGCCTGTACGGGTGGGGCCGTGAGGTAGTTCGCGGTTGGGTGGGTGGTCACGTAGGGTGCAGCCCCAGCGGCGGAGGCGTTGGAGAACCATGGTTACCGACCGCTCAGGGTCCCACCGGCGGGTCGCCCGTTGCTTCGGATCAAAGCTAGAAAATAATAACTACGTGGTAGGTGGCTCCTTCACCGAGATACAGCTCTAATTTTGGACCGTACTCAAGTCAATTGCTACCCAATATTGTCTTCATCCTAATTTTTCTTTTCAGTTTCCTTAAATTTTTTAAAACGGTCGGATGGATTAAATTTTCGTTCTTATAAATAATGTTTCGTTTCTCTCTTTTTGATGTGGGATTTCACAATCCATCCTCTTATTCCTGATCTAGTGTTCTCGATGGTACACCACCCTATATCTACCTTTGATACCAACTGTAATAACCTAAATCCACTACTAACAGATATTGTCATGTTTGGACATTGTGAGATCCATCAATTGGAGTAGATATTGTCTTATTTGGGTATTATGAGATCCCACATCGATTGAGAGATAAATGAGCGTCAGCTAGGCTAAGATGATGGACCCTAAATGGAGTATATTGTGAGATCTCACATCGATTGGGAGAGGGAAACGAGTGTCAACGAAGACGCTGAGCCTCGAAGATGATGGATTGTGAGATCTCATAACTGCGGAAGAAGGGAATAAAATATTATTTGTAACGGTGTTGAAACTTGTCTCTAGTAAAAGAAATGTTATAAAAATCTAGAAGGAAAGTTCCATACCGACAATTTTGAATAAAAAAGGAAAACAGCATATATTATTTTGTATTATGAATAATTGTGTTAAATTACAGCGTGACGTGTCAGATTATAAATTAATGTGAGCTGTCATTTGTCGCATGACGTGGCAGTATAAACTACATTTATTTTATGAATTCAGAATGGGCTAAATTCATAAAATGCCCAATTTTGCATTTTATATAAAATAAAATACTTTTTAAGTTTTTAAATAAATTAATAATATATAATATACCTTGACTACTTAAGTTATGAACTTACCTCAAATCAACAATTAAGAGGTTAAGAAATAAAACAGTTAAAACCTTTGAACTCGGTAAAATTATTCCTAATAAACAAACCTACGTGAAAAATGCATAAATTAACTATTAAATAATTTTATAAAAAATAATAATTTTTAACAAAATTAAAACACTCTAACCTATCGGATAAGATAATTTTTTTTTAAGCAACGGTTTGGAGCATACACTCGTTAAAAAGCTACAATTATAACAATATTAAAAATTTCATATTAATCATAATGCTTCGTGCCTAAGATAAAAAATTTGAACTCAATACCGAATAGTCTAGATGTGTCTACGTTACTTATTTATCTTCGACTGCTCATAAAAGTGAAAACCCTCCTCACGTATTAACAGAGATCATTTGTTAATATTTTGACAACAAGTATTTAAGAAAGACTGAGAGATGATTTTCCCAACTTTTCTTACTATTATTATTTTTATTATGATTTATTTCTTTTAAATATTTTTTCAATTATTTACGTTTCATTATTATTTTTTTTAACTATTTTAACTCTTTTTTTTCTTCAATTATGTTGTGTTTGATTTTAGCTATTTATTTTTATTTTTATTTTATTTTTCATGGACAAAAATTTGTTTTTATTTTTTCAATTATTTACGTTTCATTATTTTTGTTTGTAACTATTTTAACTCTTTTTTTCCCAATTATTTTGTGTTTGATTTTTGCTATTTATTTATATTTTTATTTTATTTTTCATCGACAAAAATTTGTTTTTATTTATTAATCATTTTCAAATATAAAAAAGTTAGAAGAGTGAAATAAATAAATTATATTTAATTATTGGAATAATTAAATTTTCAATTCTATCGTATACTAATTATTTACATTTTTATTAAAAAAAATTATTTGAGAATAATTATTAATATTGAATGCTAAATAAACTAAAAAAAATATATAATTTGAAGGCCATTATTTATAATAAAATTAGTAATGAATAAATATTAAATAAAACAAAGTTTACATAGCTTTATAATATGTTTTATCTCATTTAATACCGTTTACTCTGCCATATATAACATTTAACTTACTTTATTAAATTTAATTATTAAGATTTATTAGAAAATAAATTAAAAATCTAAAATAAAAATAAAAATATTAAGCGGGAAAAAAGGAAGAGAGAGGCTAAGGGAAAAGACCTTATAATTATTAAGAATTACAGTTCTCTAGTGGCGAAGATGAGACAAAATACGGCGATTAGATAATATCTACGGCTGATATTTTGCCTCCTCACTGACGTGGCAACAGTTCGTCTTTAAATCAAGACTTTTGGTTATCCCAAAGGGCCCCACTCCCGTCGCATCCGAATGGGAAATTTAAAAAAAATCTCCTCTCTCCCACCTTCTCCATTTCCTCGCGCCATCACTTGTTCACTACAAAGCCCTTGCACTGTCCTCTAGAAACTGCTACAGTTTCATTTGATCTCAGGGTTTTCTCAAGCTTATTCTGATGGAGCACCACGCCGGAAAACGCAGACTCGACGTCCTTGCTGCCCATCTCGCTCCCGCAGGTGATATTTCCACTGGACAAGCCCACGTTCTCCCTGCGGTACTCTTCTGTTCATCTTTTTTCCCCGCGGAACCCTTGTCTTCTTGTGGATTTAGATTGTAGATCCTGTAGTGTTATTATTGCAATTGCCGATGAGCCTTTGATTGATGTTTTTGGATACTTGTTTTTGTCTGAAATGAGATGTGTTTTGTGTTTGATTTTTTGGGGGTGATTAGAATTGCTGTAGCTACGGCAGTTCTGTGATTCGGAGATTCGATAATAAGACGTACTTTGCAAGACAAGGATCTGAGGCTTGTGGTGCTTATATGAGGCAGGCTTCAGCTACAGAGGTGATTGATTCAAGAAACTAAACTCGCTGTAGTAGTGATTTAATACTTCACGTTTCTTTTAGAACATTTTGATTCCTCTTTCTGGATACCTGATTTTGTTCTCTACCTCTGACTTTCTTAAAGATGATATTTCAGGTTCAGGGTAATCAACGATCTAATTCTCAGCCGTTCTTGGATGTCTCCGAAGGTCCAGTGTATTCAAGACCTGCAAAGGATGGAGGGATTCCCAGTATTGGAATAGATCAGCTTATGACTCAGAATTTCAATTTGATTGCATCTGAACCTCCATTGTTTGCAAGAGCATGTTTGGGAATCAATGAACAAAATAACCATGTCATTTCGGAGGCAAAACTGCCATCCTCTGGATCAAAAGGTTGGTTGGTGATTTTCCAATTAGAAATTGGTGAATGAGTGTCACTAGATAAAGCTTACTTGGCTACATGTTGCTGACTTAGAGATTTTACTTCCTCCATTTGTCATATTCTAACACAGGAATTGGTGGTTTGTCTCCGAGGATGGATGTGGCAGAATCAGGTCGAGGTTATGTTTTGACTGTAGAAATTCCAGGAGTAAAGATCAATGACATTAGAGTCGAGGTCGATGACCAAAAGTAAGACAATGCTTTTATGATGATATTCATTTCATATATTTTCTACATTTCTCTTCACAGTAAACTTGGATTTAAATATTCAAGACAAAGATGATGGTGGGGAAATTTGAGCTTAATGATTATTCAGGACCTCCTATTGATTACCAAGTTGAATTGTTAAGTTGGTACAGGTTGCTGGTTAGACCCAAAAGCTTTTAATCTATTAAACTATGATAAGTACATTCTTTTCGATATGTTCTCCAAATATATTTAGTCATGAATTATAGTTTACCATATATATCATATTTGATCTTTTATTATAGGATATTTTCCACGGCTTACCATAGGTATCATATTTGCCCTTTCAGTATAGGCAAATATCTTGTATCCATTTATTGTTCTTTCCATATGTTTTATAATTTATTTGATTTTCTAAATGATTATAGATAGAGAACTTTCACCACCATTTAGGTGTGAGTGGTTTTAGTAAATATTCTCATTCTCGATGTTCTTCCTCACATGTAATGTGAGATCCCATATCGGTTGGAGAGTGGAACGAAGCATTTCTTATAAAGGCGTGGAAACCTCTCCTTAGTAGATGTGTTTTAAAACCTTGAGGGGAAGCCCTTGAAGGGAATGCCCAAAGAGGACAATATTTGTTAGCGGTGGGCTTGGACTGTTGCAAATGGTATTAGAGCCAGACACTGGGCGTTATGCCAACGAGGACGTTGGGCCCCCAATAGGGGTGGATTGTGAGATCTTACATTGGTTGAAGAGGGGAACGAAACATTCTTTATAAGGGTGTGAAAACATCTCCCTAATAGATGCGTTTTAAAACGTTGAGGGGAAGCTCTTGAAGGGAATGCCTAATAATATTTGTGAGCTTGAATCGTTGCATGTATGCTCGAATATTAATAAGAGACCAATGTCTGAGATACTAATATATGAATGGAAATGGGGTGGATTTGGGTCAGAATGGCCGTATCATCTTCAACCTTTACTTTTAGAAGGATCCCTATTCTTGATGAAGTCAAGTGGGTAGGGAATTTGTCATCCTAACGAACGAGAGATGTGTTCAACGCATGGTTTTCTGTATGATATCACATTAAATTTATACCAAATTCAAAAGCTTAAATAAGCTTGAATATGTGTATATAATGGTATTGATCTGACAGTGGAAAGCTGTTGTCTGGCAGGTTGACCATAATCGGCAAACGCTCAAATCAATACTGTGGAGTGGTAGGATATTCAAGCGACTCGATCTCTTCATATCACAAGAGAGAGATATCACAAGGGCCTTACCAGGTTGTGTGGCCACTTCCAATCAACATTAATAAGGACGGAGTCTTAGCTGAGTTCTGGTAAGTAGCAAGATGTCAGTCCTCCGTTCCATTACATCGGAATATCTTTCAACTTCATGTGGCTAATTCTGCACATGCCCCCACAATGCATGGTCTTTCTATTTTCTCTTACCCTTTGCTCGTGGATTTGTATGACAAATAGCCAAACTGCTCATTTTCAAACCCCGTTTTTTGTAGCTCGCTCGTTTGTTAATGGCTCGGTGTTTTTGTCTTCTTTTTTTTGTGGATGCAGGGATGGATTACTACGGATCACTCTACCGAAACTCTGAGAGTTGTTTTCCTCAAAAGTCATACAAATGCATGAGATATATGGTACGCTCGAATAGCTCCCAATCGAAACCATCCAGTATCTTTATATTCGTACATTCCATAGGCGAAATAACCAAAGACAGTTTATATAAGTACGTCTACAATATTCATATGAATGAATGTGGATTGCTGTCGAAATATATATATGTAGATGTATATGTATGTCTGGTTCTGCAATGTTTGGCTGTTGCTAAGATGGACTTGGTATTCAACTTGTGGTTTAAGTTGGGCTATGTTATATTATAACTAAGTTCAGATTTTCTTCTATCCTCTTTTAGGAACCAAATTATAAGTCATGGTAGGTTGAAAATTACGTCGAGAAATATCCTTTATTTCGTTCGTCATTGAAATTGTTTCTCCTCGTCGAGGTTTTTGCTTGCCTTGTGCTCTCATTGTGTAGATGTTTGTTGGTAGAATTTCTTCTTGGTGATTAGGTATTTCATGCTTATATGTTAGGTTGGAGGTTTTGATATTTTTTTTTTGTCTTGGATGATTAGGATTTTTATTAACATATCATAATTTTGAAGTATAATTAATTAATTCAAATTAGATTTGTAATGGATAAAAATGAAATAAAAGTTATTATAATTTAATAAATATAAGATTTATAAATATTAATTATTTACTCCACCTGATTTTTGTAATATAGTATCTATAATTAATTCTTTGATTTTAGTATTATATTATTTACTCCATGTTTAGAACATCAGTCACATGTGAATGTTTTAACCAAATGAATTAATTATTATTATTATTGTTATATTTTTTTAATGTAGGTTGGAATTAGTCCCAACGACCCAAGAGAGCAACAATTATCAAACTTTTCATTCTAACAAATAAAGAGCATTTAGTGTTCATGATGAGTGCGATATAATCAAAACTTTATTACAAGTTATTTTTGTTTTTAATGTTAGGTAATCAATTGATTGGTGCTAAAAATAAATGAAAGATAATTAATTAATGGTAAATTTTACAAATAAGTAAAATAAAATAAACATATCAATATTAGCTATTTTCCACTTTCAGGATGTTTTTTTTTTTCCTTCATCCATGTCACCTATTTTATGTTATATCTGCCACCTATTTTACATTTCATATAAATAATTTTTTTGGTTTATTATTCTTTTAAAAAATAATTATTTTAAAGTTTTTATTTTTCAATATAATCTTTAATAAAAATTTATAAGAAACCCTTAATAAATCAATATATTTTATAAGTAAACATATATAAAATATTCTACCATATAAATAGGGTGGGACGAGTCGTCCCACCCCTTGAGGAGGGGTACAAATAAAATGAACATCTTTAACCATAACTTCTCAATCTACTCCCATCAAATTGAGTAGGTTGCATAATGGAAAAACTCAATCATTCATCTCATAATTATTGGATTCTAAAATTTATACAACTCTGGTTGAAGTGTTTTTTAATTAAAAGATATATTAGAAATTTAGTGATTAAAAAAAATAAAAGAATCTGTAGGAATTGCATATCATAATCATAAACTTCGAAAAAAATTAATTAAAAAAATGAACTTACCATAAAATCCGATAAAGCTCTCCATTTTCGTCCCACTCTTTGGTACATTAATGAGTGAGAACGAATCTCTACAATTTATTTATTTATTTATATAATCCAACAATCTTCTTCTTCTTCCATAGACTCTTCAAAATGGGTAGCTCTGCAACTCTCTGTGTTGCTCTGTTTCTCCTACTGCCTCCTCTTCTTCTTCAACAAGCTCGGGGGAAGCCGCCGCTTGGTGGGTGCGACTTTTTCCAAGGGAAATGGGTGGCCGATGCGTCGTACCCACTTTACGACGCCTCGACTTGTCCTTTCGTTCAGAAGGAATTTGATTGCCTTGGAAATGGCCGTTCCGATAAGCTCTATCTCAGTTACCGTTGGCAGCCCTCCGGCTGCCTCTTGCCCAGGTCCGATTTTCTTTTTAATTTTGTATTGGTTTTATATTTGAATCACTCTGTTTTTTTCTTCAAAATATTCATCCTCCATATTATAATAATAATAATAATAATAATAATAAATTCTTGGTTTATTATTATTATTTTTTTTATTTGTACGTTATAAGTGTGTTACACGAATAGGCCTATGAAATTAATGAAAAGCACTATTCCCAATTATTTCAATTAAAATGTCAGATATTTAACTATATATTTAATTAAAAATATAAAATTTTGTTGATGCAGATTTAACGGTGAAGAGTTCTTGAGGCAATTGAGAGGAAAAAGCATAATGTTTGTGGGAGACTCGTTGAGTTTGAATCAGTGGCAATCGCTTACTTGTATGCTTCATAAGTTTGCTCCATCAGCTAATTATACCCTTACAACAGTTGGAGGATTGTCCAATTTTACCTTTATGGTTCGTAAATATTTCTCTCCCTCCCGATAAATCATTTTAATGTTTAGAGACTAAAATTATAATTTAGTAAAATATTATGATCGGACTATTAAAACATGGTTTGTTCAATCTGTAGGAACACGGCTTGAAAATTATGTTTTTAAGAAAAGTATTTATCGTCGATATTATAGACACGAAAATGGGTCGAGTCCTCAAGCTCAACTCAATAGACAGCCAAAAAATGTGGGAAGGAATCGACGTCTTGATATTCAACTCATGGCATTGGTGGCTGCACGCCGGAAGAAAACAACCGTAAGAAAAACATATTATATCCGTAATTCTGTTCATAATTATTTAGTTTGCTTTATTACATTTAAAAAACTAATAATTATGCGTAGATGGGATTTGATTGAAGATGGGAAAAGCACGTACAAGGATATGAACCGATTGGTGGCATTTGAGAAAGGGCTAAGAACTTGGGCTAAATGGGTCGACAAAAGTGTGGATCCTTCCCGGATTAAGGTCTTCTTCCAAGGCGTTTCTCCGGACCATTCTGAGTACATTATCTATATTAAAAAGTCTTACATTAACTGATTTAGGGAATGATGATATTTATAACTACAAGAGATCATGTCTCATCCTCTTTTTTTATTATTATTTAAAAATTAAAAAAAAACCATAAACATGTTTTGATTTTTCAATAATTGAATGATTGCGTGGGTTGAAACAGTGGGAAATTATGGGGGGAGATCGGAGGGACCTGCGGCGGAAAAACAAGGCTGTTGGACGGCCTCGAGTATTCAGGGGGCCCACATCCGGCGGAGCAGGCGGTGGAGAGAGTGCTGCAAGGGATGTCGAAGCCAGTTTATTTGCTGAATATCACCACACTGTCACAGTTAAGAGTAGACGGGCATCCCTCCGTGTACGGCAGCGGCGGCCACAGAGGCATGGACTGTAGCCACTGGTGTCTCGCCGGAGTTCCTGATACTTGGAACGAATTCTTATACGCAGCTCTCCTTCCAAATAACAAGCACCATTTTTAATATCATTTTTCTTCTTCAAAATTAAAAAAAAAAAAAAATTATGTCATTTACATTAAATAAATTTGAAAAAAAAAAAACAAAAACAATAGTTACCATAAATTTCATAGATTTGGGGCAAAGATCAACTCAGCTATTTTCATAAATAAAGAGAAATTACATTAAAAATCAGCAACGAATTAAATTGGGTATAAATAAAGTCAACTAACTAGGGGTTGTTTATTATTGGGTGGGAACAATAAATATAGCGCGTTGATTTGATTTGACTATCGACGGCTGAGATTGGTCAAAGAGTCAAAGTCAACATTTTGAAAAAGGCGAGTAAAGGGAGTTTTGTTCCAAGTTATGTGCGTGGACAAAAAATGCCAGCTAGCTTCCAACAAAATGTAGTATTGTTTTGGTAAATAAAATAATTGGATGAAATTTTTTTATTTTTATTTTTTTAAATCTTTAAATTTTTGTCTGTCCACATCTTTCTGTGCATTTTTTAATATTTACTTTTTAGAATTTTGACTCATAATTATAAAGTTGGGATTGATGCAACTTATGTCAATTCAAGTATAGGGATCCGAGTAGCTCGTCTATTATTTTAATATTTTTTATATAATCATTTTTATTTAAATTATATCTTGGACTTACCTTTAAACCCATTATCATTTCCTAAATTAGCAGCGAATAAGAGAAAAATATTTACATTTTTCTAATATTTGAAATAAAAATTGGGAATTTAACCTCAAGACTTGAAATGTAAATTTCATATATATGTCAAAGATTCATTATATTATATTATATTATTCATTCTTGCATGGAATAAAATGTCTTTATTTCTAAAACGCGGTTTTGCGTACTGTGATGAATGATGAGCCAGCCGCTTTCATAACCATACCCCACCTGCGCCCACTCCCTAGGAGACGACATGTCGTTTTACTCCACTTTTAAGTAATTACAACGACAGAAGATAAATTCTTGGATGCATTTCTTTAAAATAAGAAGAAAATCAATTATTGATAATTAATTTAATTTAAAATAAATCGTTAGGCATCTGCGTTTTACGTTAATTGTAAGTACAAAACGACAGCTAGTCGATTTTCTCCTGTCAATGCTAAAGCTGATATCCTCTCAATTACTCTTCTGTACACTTCCCAACAAGGCTGTACAGTAGGAAAGTGGAGATCCTTCGTGGCATTCCACGTAATTATTTAAATTATAGATTTCATTTTTATGAAAATATTACAGAAAATAGACCATTTATCTAAAATAATATCTAATAATTTATTTTTAAAATAATTAAATACTTTTCTTCAAATATCTAGGACTAATAATGATATTTTTAACATAGATCTTAACCTTCGATAATTATAATATTAAATATAGTCTAAGTTATTATTATTATTATTATTATTATTAATATTTGGTCGTATTTAGATGTATGGAGGGTTTCCAATATTTTGTCATTATTTATTAGGGAGAGTATTTTACTATAATTTGGCATCCACTTCAAAGGTCCTACTGCTAGCAGTGCTTTTTTTAATATATATCTATATATATATATATATATATCTTATCCCTCTTTCTCTGTTAGTCCCTTTTATAGTCTTTCTGCAAGCTCTGAGACTGGGAACTTAGAGGTTTGAAGAGAGTTTCGAAGTGTGCGTCCATGGCGGCTAAATCTGTATCTCAAAATCACATAAGAGGCATACTTCTTATGCTCTGTTCTGTTCTTCTGCTGCAGTTTTCTACCTTCGGATTGGCAGCCACTCCCAAGCTTCATCGAGAAGAAGGTATAGGAACCTTTCCGGTTTTTGTTTTCTTTTTACCCAAACCTCGAGTCGATCATTTTCTTCTCTGAAATTCGTTCAGATTTGATTGATTTTGTGGCGAATCGAACTGAAATTTCTGGTGAATTGATGAACTGTTGCAGTGAAAGCGTTGAAACAGATCGAGAAGAAGATGGGGAAAAACGACTGGAATTTTAGCCTAGATCCTTGCAGTGGAGAAGGAAATTGGCGCGTTGTTAATGGAAGAAAAGGCTTCGAAAGCTCCGTCACATGTGATTGCTCTTTCAACCACAACTCCTCTTGCCGTATCGTCGCCATGTACGTTCCCATCCTCTTCTTCTTCCTCGCGCGCCCTCTCTCTCTCTCTTCTCTTTTCTCCCTCATTAATATATTTTTATTAAAATACTAAAAAAAAGTATTTAAATTATAAATTATAAATACTTACTTTTAATTTTATTTTTTATTTTTATTGAATTTTAAAATTATTTGATAAATAGATAATAAAGTCACCGTCCCAAAGGCTAGTAATTAGTCTCACGATTTTAAAACGTGTCTAGTAAGGAGATGTTTATACACTATTTCGTTACTCTTTTCAATCAATAATGTGACGATTGCGAGGGGAATGAAATTTTTCTTATACGGTCGTAGAAACATCTACTTAGTATCGTGTTTTAAAACTGTAAGGCTGATGACGATATGTTACGGATAAAGACGAAATTATTTGCATGCCGTGGCTTAAAGATGTTATAATAAATAATTAAAACTCAAAAAAGTAGGACTAAGAACTAAAATTAATAAGATTCTATTTTTTACTTTATTAATAATGGTAGGTATATTTAAATTGGTGCTCAATAATGAGTATTGACCTTCTGCCGACCACTGTTTTGTTGTGAAAAAATTAACAAAAAAAAAAAAAAGGTTAGAGCACGTGAGTCGGTGATTTTTATTATTTTAGCTATAATGCTACATTACAAAGTACAACTACCAAGTTCTCGGTTAAAGCACGTGACATAATACAATTATCTTTATTTTTAGTATAATAATACTATTACATATATTGTTGTGAACTAGTGGGCCCACTTTACAAACCAAAGATTTAGGCTCGGCCTGGCCCATGTTGATTTTGGGCTTATTAAGACAATGGCCCGTGGTTGAGAGTAGTAATCTATAGCAACCATTGGGCCCATGAGTTTTCTTTTCTTAAAATATTTATTATGATTTTTCGCGGCTGAAAACGACGGGACTAAATTTCCCGGGAAAAGTTCGTTGCTGTAAGACTGCAATAGGAAAGAAGTGATCAGCCATTTGAACCGTTTGGCTTAATGATTGGGAAGTGTGAACGGACTTCCAAGCCACCGCCGCAACCCTTGCGCATTAGCTCGCGAGATCGAGAAGAAACTAATATTCGAATGTGAATCAATGGATTTTTTGATGGACGTACAAAGGTTGAAGTGTTAAGGAGATTATCCACGCTCCACATGGAGCGTTGTAATGGTGGAGCATCTCGGTTGCCCCTGTTGATATGAATACCGTCGGAGGTTCATTGAGATACTGCTTTCTGTTTGTTAAAACCAATTTCGCTGTTTACGATTATCGAGTTTTGGACTGGATCCTTAACAAATAAGTTTGTGATTCTTGGACTTCTGTATCATTGTTTGGTTATACTGTAGCCACTCTTCATCTTGTTGTATTGTGCAGTTTAATTTCGATGTTTATACTGTTCTTTTTCCGTTTTAGCTTTGTGGATAATCGTAGTCTTTCCACTGGAATATATTCTACTACCTTCGATGTTTGTTGATGCTGAGATTTCCTTGCTAAATGTTAATGTCTGCATTTTCTCCTGGAACCGATGATTTTTTCTCTTTTCCCCCTCCCCTCTCTCTTCTATTTGATATTAAATATGCATCATGATCTGATCGCAACGTCGTTATGTTAGTGCTCTCTGTAGACTCTTCTGTCAGTTTCTTGAATTTCTTTTTCCTTTGTATTTGCAGATTTACAATCTAATTTGGTTTTGTCATTTCTCCAGAGCTCTGAAGTCCCAGAATCTATCTGGCGTTGTGCCACCAGAATTTTCCAAGCTTCGCTTCCTCAAACAGCTGTAAGTAAAAGTGTGTAAGTAGTATTCTGATACGTCAAAGGACCTAAGGATTTCTTAAACTTGGGTTGAAAGCCTCCTAATTCCACGCTTGGTTCACTGTTATCAGAGACCTCAGTCGAAACTGTCTCACGGGTTCTATTCCGTCACAATGGGCTACCATGCGGTTGGAAGACCTGTAAGCGTCTTCGTTACTTCTTTCTGTCAGTTCTTGAAGATTCTCTGAACTTAAACTGCAGTTTCATTTTATGCCTTCTTTAACTGAACATGCAGTTCTTTCATGGGAAACAAATTGTCCGGCCCATTCCCGAAAGTTCTTACGAATATCACCACTCTCAGAAATCTGTATGTCGTATCTTTAGTTTTTAGATTTATTTGTAAGTGTACACGAGATTAGTATTTGGAAAATCATTTATGGTGCTTTATCTAATTGTGTTTGCCTATCCTAAAATGTGACAGGAGCATTGAAGGAAATCAATTTTCCGGCCAAATTCCACCAGGGATCGGAAAACTAGTCAATTTGGAAAAGCTGTAAGTCTACTGGACGTACATATTTACCGCGTAAGTGGCACCATCATCAAATTTTTAACTCTCTCTTAAATTCGTGATGCTCTTTCTTCAGTGTTCTGGCATCAAATGGCTTCACCGGAGAATTGCCAAAAGCACTAGCAAAGTTGTCGAACTTAACTGATATGTACGCGACCAATTTCTATTGTTTTTCTTCTTGAAAAATAGATTTTTCCTCTGAATGACAGATATCAATGTTCTTTTTTAGCATCTCGAGTTATCCATTACAATATTAATTGAATATGTACTATACAGTCATATGCTTCAACATGTTTCTGGTATCAGCTTGATCATCCTTCACATAAGATCTTAATCTTCTTTAATGCAATACCATATTTAAATGTTTCCACTCAACTTCTCAGCATTTTTTGGCGTTCTGATCTATAGATTAGTGAAGTAATGTCGTTGGTTCGAGCTTTATTTTTATATTCCATTTCTTCAGCTAAACTTTGTTTTTCTTATACTATCAAGGAGGATTAGTGACAACAATTTTTCTGGAAAGATACCTGAGTTCATTAGTAATTGGACACAGATTGAAAAACTGTAAGCTCCATTCTTATGGCTTTTAACTGCTTCATCTGATATATAATATTTATAATTGACGATCAGGTAAATTTTCCACCTTGCAGGCATATTCAAGGCTGCTCCCTCGAGGGGCCCATACCCTCAAGTATCTCCACGATGACAAGTTTAACTGATCTGTATGCAATTTTGATACTATAATCCGCTTAGTATGTTGAGTTCCACTAGTAATTCTAATTTCTAAGTTCTTCAAAAATTTCAGGAGAATATCTGACTTAAAAGGTGGAAGGTCTCTTTTTCCACCGTTGAGCAAAATGGAATCCATGAGGACGCTGTTAGTTGAATTCTTTGCTTTTATTCTTCTACCACTCTCTAACTTAATTGTTCAGGGACATGACTTTGATGCTGGGATGCAGGATACTTAGGAAGTGCTTCATTGTCGGAGAAATCCCTAAATACATCGGGGACATGAGAAGATTGAAAAACTTGTAAGTAGTAAGAATGGATTTGCTTTAATGATGATTAGAAACTCATGAGAATACCTCATTTCTTCTTGCAATAACTTGAACTCGCCAAGAAATGTCAGTTATTTTAGTAAATCTTAATATTACTTTAATTTCAATCTTTCGTGTTAAACTATTGGGTAATATTCCGATTTCAGAATTAACTATGTATAGTAAATATGCTTGCAGCCTTGGAAATATAAGTGCTTGGGCATATTTTAATTTGCTATTTTCATTTCATCAACCACTTGGTATTAGTTCCAATTCTATGTTGGTTTAGTTCTTGTTTCTAAGAAGTTGATTGGTTGCTTTGTTTATATGCAGAGACCTCAGCTACAATGACTTGACTGGCGAAGTTCCTGCATCGTTGGAACGACTGGAAAAAATAGATTACATGTAAGTGGACTCATCCCCGCCCCCCACCCCCCCCCAAAAATAATAATAATAATAATGATGATAAAATAAATAACAATAATAACAATAAAACACAGAAACTTGACATGGACAAAAAAAAAAAAAAAAAAAACAGCCTAGAGGTAAGGAGAGAAGACGTTCCTTGACTGAAAGGACAAATAAACAAAAGACCAATTTGATGCCGTAAAAGAATTAAATAGGGAAAAGAAGAAAAAAAAACCTCTGTTTTGGGAAAATATGGTTGCTTCTTTCTGGTCATATAGTATAAGAGAGTTCTAGAAGTATTTGCCCATAAGAGTCTCACTTTATAACTCGTGTGTTTTCTACCTCCCTGTATCTGCTTGGAAAAAGAAATTTATGTTAGGAATCACAACTTTTCACAATGGTATAATATTGTTCACTTTGATCATAAGCTATCATGGCTTTGTTTTTGGGCTTCTCCAAAAGGCCTCATATCAATGAAAATAGTATTCCTCACTTATAAACCCATGATCATTCCATAAATTAGCCAACGTGGAACTCCCTCCCAACAATCCTCAACAATTTCTAGACTTCTTTCCCTATTATTAAGCTGCCTCGGAAGCAATTAAAATCACATTTTTAATCTATCTTCATTCAACATGAGTGCACTTATCAGTTATTATTTATTTATATATTTTTTAAATTATGTATCGTAGTTTTAATATCTATAGTATTTTTTAAGATATTTGACAGGAAACAAGCTCAATGGAATTATTCCTGGTTGGGTCTTAGGAAGCAACAAGAATGTGTATGCCTTTTCCTTCGGAATCATTTTTCGTAGTTAATCTTCACTTAAATGCCTGCTGTGAAAACATATGATGTACATTACCTTGGCTAACCGGTTCCATTTTCTTATCTTATGCAGGGATCTTTCTAACAACAACTTCACTTGGGAAAACTCAAGCCCAGCTGAGTGTCCTCGTGGGAGTGTGTGAGTGTTGTGAATTTATCGTTTACTTTCTATGTTCAGAGCATTATCTTGCATAGTAACTAAAAGAAAATAATTCTTATTCTCACAGAAATTTAGTAGAGACTTACTCACCGTCTGCAGAAAAATTGTAAGGATTCTGTGCCAGTAAGAAAATTTATTGACTGCTAATCTATTCGTTAGAAGTCTCTCTAGATACCAGTCTTCTTATCTTTAAAATGACGAGCTCAGTTTTCTTGCATGCTCACAGAACTAGAATCCATCCCTGCCTAAAAAGGAACTTCCCATGTTCTGCATCAAAGGAAGAGCGTGAGTGTATAACTCTGGCCTTGAATTTGGCAATTCAAGTAAACAAATTTTCTTTTCATAAAGAATACAACCTGTTGAAATATATAAATAAGAGATAATATCAATTCTGAAACTGAGGCTCAAAGCCTTTGTTTTATTGGTAGTCCCTTCTTTTATTTCAATTACGTAAATTCTATTGTTTTCACACTGTTTTAAATTGTCAAAACTTCAGAGCACTACTCCTTGCGCATTAACTGTGGCGGTAAAGAAGCATTTGTAAGGGGTGAAAGGTATGAAGCGGATAGAGAAGGTGCTTCAATGTTTTATACTGGTCACAATTGGGCTTTTAGCAGCACGGGAAACTTTATGGACAATGATGTTGATGCTGATAACTACATCGAAACAAATACATCCGCTCTTTCAAATGTCTCTGTGACCAATTCAGAACTGTACACAAAAGCGAGGAATTCTCCTCAATCTCTTACATACTATGGGCTATGTCTCATAAATGGGAATTATAGTGTTAAACTCCACTTTGCAGAGATTGTATTTATAAATGACAGTTCATTCAACAGCCTTGGGAGGCGAATATTTGATGTATACATTCAGGTATTGATGAAAGAAAATGTATGACTGGAAAAGAACGCCACTTCATCGTATTGTTGGATACTGAAAACCCTGTCATTTGTTCAACTGCAGGAAAAGCTGGTCCTAAAAGATTTTGATATAGAACATGAAGCAGGGGGTACAGGTAAGCCCATTATAAAAGAATTTACCGCAGTTGTCACAAGTCAGACATTGAAGATCCATTTCTACTGGGCTGGAAGAGGAACAACAGGAATCCCACTTAGAGGAAATTATGGTCCTCTGATATCAGCTATTTCTGTAGATCCCAGTAAGTTTTCCAAGTCATGAAACAAAGAATGGAATGATTACCTGTTACCTTTTGTTTCTAGATGAATGTAAAAGTTATCAACGTCCGTTTGCTTAAATGTTTCTTCTTTTCCTTTTTCTACAAGCATTTAAATTTGTGAGGTTCATATATTGAGTAGCACAATACACGCAAACCTTGAGCCTGTTAGTAACAGTGGCAATGAGTAAAAAAGTTGACATAACTTTTAAGATTGCAACTTCTTCAGTTTGTGCTATTTTGATAGAGATTATAATATTTGTAGAAGGGTTGGCATGATTTTTATAGGTTCCACTGGGATTAATTCAGTTGGTTGCTTTCTATTGCCTACCATCACCCTTGACGATAATATCTTATTTTTTACTTGCAGAAAATGTGAAGTGTATATATATGTATATTTTTTTTTAAAACATCTATCTTACCTCATGGGTTTGGGTGGCACCCTTGTTCTTCTGCATGGAGTCCAAATATTTGTACTTTTCTTGACTAATACAATTTTATTTAATCATAATAAATTGGATGATTACAAAAACCTGAAGTGGGAGGTTCTAAGACTGGTCTGGAATCTGGGAAGGCTATTTGGAGTGAATCTATATGCTTTATCATCTAGTTCACGATATATTTCAATGCTTGGCGGGCAGAAACTGTAGAATATAAAATTATTTTTAAATATATTCTTGATTTCTGATAAGGAAAATTTCTCTCTTCACAGATTTTACACCTCCTAAGAACCATGTGAAGAAGCATCACACCATCATAATTATTGGGACAGCAGCAGCAGCTTTTGTTCTCCTTCTGCTGCTATGTATTATGAGGAGGAACGGATGGCTGGGAGGCAAGGCATCCGTATATAAAGGTATAATCTTTCATTTAACGTAACATATGCATTATCTCTATTGAAAATTGAAGCTGCATATAGTATTCATGAACTTAAACTGTTTCTAGATCTCATCAGAGCTAAAGATATTTGTAGCCTGACTATTTGTTTTTTTTTTCCCTTTCCTTATATATTCATTGGAATATGCGAAGATTAGGAAAAGAGGCCTTATTTATATAAAAACAGAAAACATAATCTTAACTAGAATTCTCAGTTTTCTGTCCAAAAGAGGGAGAGATCATGATCTAAGCTACTGAAATGGTCTACGCATCTCCTTATCTACTTCTTTGGAACATTTAATACTTCGTGGCTAGTCATGTAAAATTTTATTGTACTTATTTTGTGGTGCTAAAACTTTTGAATCGTTGAGTATTTGTCTCCTCCCTTTAAATATCTATCTCTTTACTAGTTTGCTGTTGAATTCTGAGTTCGGTGCCTATTTGAATAAATAAACAAAAAAATGGTGATGTCAACTTCTATATGTTGAACTTTTGATTTCATTCATCCAATGGAGTTAATATCATCACCTAAAATACATCCTCAAGTTTGGGTTTGACATGTGATTTTGTGTACCATGTTTCAAGGAAATGTCCTTTTCAACATGTTTTTCTTGTTAACTGCTGTGCATTGCCACTTTTCTCTGACACCTGAAGTCTAATTCATGCAGAG